GGTCCCAAATCCATGTAGCTCCTTCCCAAAGGCTGGATGAACATTCTCACTAAAGAAAGCACCAGAAACATAATCCCATACCATGTTAAGCTTCTATTTTGTTGTTTCACCTTGAAACGCTGTAGGTAGAAAAATACGCAAATGAAGAATAAATGCTGTGGTACTTAGTTTTGAGGTAATTAATTCACAATCATCTAGGAAATTTTTAACCACAACCAAAGTTTCTAACCATCAAAATCTAGTGACAATTAACAAAGCAGAAATTAACAGGCAAATCCATCTTTGAGCATCGAATGACTTTTTTTGTAATGACTATGTTGGTTGCAACCGGGATGTTCCCTGTTCATTTGACTTTTCAGTATAACTTGTTTCAGAATAAATATTGTAAAATCAAGTAAAAGAATGTTTCTTTGTATTCAGAATTAAATAAGAATTAAGCGTTTGGTGTTTAAATCCAAGGACTAGGAGAAAATTCCATGTAAATTTAATGCGTTATTTATTACTTTTTAAAAAGCACTTCGATGGTAAATTATACATATTGATAAATGAGTATTACTTGAAAATATTGTGGTTTGTTTTCCATTCACTTTTGTGAAAAGAAAAAAGAATTATTGTAAAGGTCTCTAAGTCTCTGCTTATTGACAGTTCACTATCTACTTAGATTTTGGAACATAATTGGCCTTTTGAGCATCCCTGAGGAGTGGAAATACAAAACTGATTTGAAGTTTTCTAATCTGTGTTCCATGAAAAATGATAAAACCAACGCAATTTGGCCAACATTCTGGAGATTTGACAATACAACGGGCGAAGAGAATTGGCTTAAATCCCCTCCTCCCCTTGAATGAACCCATTTCTCTTCTTTAGAAAATGACGTGGCTTCCAGCTACTGTCCCTTCTTGAGTCACCTGGGACAGCCAAGTGGGGGTGCCTGCATGCATTCCAAGTGTCATCACCGTACCCCAGGAGTGGATGGTGACACACTTTCAGGCAATGCTGCCCTTCTCCTCATAATTGGTTATCGAAACATGTGCCTTTATTATCAGAATAGTGGTGTGTGCGTTTCTGATTATGTAGCAAACCCTTTGGATATTTGACTTGGATATAAAAACATTTTGGTGTTAGGTTTTTGCACTTGTAGATATAATTCAAAAGCATGGAATTGATCATTTAAGTTTTCTATCAAACTAACCTTGTTACATTTCTGTAAAAGGTCCCTGAGCAGGGTGGAGAAAGACAACTGTTTTCTAAAGAATTCCATCATGTACATGACTGTAACTGTAAGTCTGCTGGCAATAAAGAATACTGTGAAAAGTCTCTTCCTTGGGGTAGTGGATCTTGCATTGACTCACAAAGGAGAGGCCATGGTTGGAGGGGAGTTTGAAACTTTTCCATACAAAGCCAATATTCTTTTCCCCCCAGGAAACTCCTTAAAAAATGATCATAACAAAGCCTTACTTCATCTGTTGAGGGGCGGAGTGAAAAAGGCGGCTGAGCAGGAACTCTTCAAATGAGAATGAGCTTCAATGATGTAATTTAGCTCCTCAGAAACCCAAACCAAACCCATTGCCGGGGAGTCGATTCCAACTCATAGCGACCCTAAAGGACAGAGTAGAACTGCCACATAGTTTCCAAGGAGCGGCTGGTGGATTCGAACTGCTGACCTCTTGGTTAGCAGCCGAGCTCTTAACCACTAAGCCACCAGCTGGGTCTTGGACAGAATCAAAGGTGGGCAGATAGGCAAGAAGGCTGAAGCCCCAGTTGTGCTGAGAGGATTTCTTCCTAACAGGTGGTACTATAGAATAGTCCAGCTGAGAACTGGGCTCCTCTCCATGTATAACACAGACCGAGAGGCTAGAACTAACCACTTACAAAGAAGAAAGCTAGGGTAAAGGGCATGAGGCAGTGGTGGTTTAGTGGTAGAATTCTCGCCTCGCACGCAGGAGATACTGGTTTGATTCCCGGCCTGAGAACCTCACGTGCAGCTGCACCAGCTCCGTGGAGGCTTGCGTGTTGCTCTGATGCTAGACGGGCTTCAGTGGAGCTTCCAGACTAAGACAAATTAGGAAGAAAGGCCTAGGGATCTACTTCCGAAAATTAGCCAATGAAAACCTTATGGATCACACACCGATCAGGGGGGATGGCCCAGGACTGGGCAGTATTTTGTTCCCTTGTGCATGGGGTCACCATGAGTCAGGGGCTGACTCAGTGGAAGCTAACAACAGGGTAAAAGGCAGGTTCTGACCTGCTCTCGCCTGCTGCACCTGGTGTACAAACGAATGACAGCAAACAGAGCCGAACCAAACGTCCCCTCTCTTTCATCTGAACTTTTATTGCCATGGTTCTTAGGAATTTTTGCCCTATTCAAAGGGCAATCCATTGACCTTCTTTGAAGTGTAATGTCCCCAATACACTGTCACTTTACTAACTATATCATCTGTGGTAGTGGTGGAAAATAGGGAGAAAAAGGATATTTGAGATTCTCTAAGTGGTTCAGTTTCTGGAATACTAAGAAGCATCGGCACCAGGTGAGAAGCAAGGCTGCAGCATTCCACGACCCCAGTGGTGGCCCTGGGGGTAACAACCCCACAGCATGGACTCCCAAGAACGGATATGTATGAAAGTTTTTTGCTTTTTTTTTTTTTTTTAACAAACATACACTGAACATAGTAAAGGTGACTAATTGAAATGAGATTTAATGCATAGATTCTCTGTGGCAGATAAGGTCACCTGTTGCCAAACTTGAAGGTTATGGCTTTGAAACACTCCATTTTTCAGTCATCTCAGGCTAGCCAATGATGAATGTACATATTGGGATCAAAGTTGATTTATTTATTTTTTTGCATACATCAAATGAACACCATTACTTTTTTGCTGTACTTTTATTTCAGGTTGCTTAAAAGTTTTGAGTTATCTCAAAGAAGTCTACATGATACCATGAACGTTGATATCACCTGATGGAAATGGTAGATGTAGGCTTCCTGGAAGTGTTAATGGATGAAAGCTGAAATTCTCAGATTATCACGGAAGACAGGGTTATGATACCAAGTGTAAGTAATATTAGCTCAAGAAAGATCCAGGGGCCCAAAGCAAGTCAAAACTCTGGTATAAATAAAGTTCTAAATTCATTTCATTCCCTAAGAGAAAATGCAATACCAAACGCTTTGCCTCTTTAATGCATTTGTTTTCTGTTTTCTTAACCCAGTACCTTAGTGTTTTGCTTTTCTAGAAATCCCATCAGTATTCTCATGCTATTTGATCAGAGAACAAGCTACTTCTTAGTGATGTAAAAAGGCAACAAAAAAGGCCACCCATGATCACCTCCTTACAGATAGGTGTTATCAGTAACAAAAATTAGGAAGGTCTTTGGTCAGTAGGTGGATACTACCTGGCAGCTGTGGAAATGTTTCTCAGTAAGAGCCATCTGAGTCAGACAGCAGGTGTTAATTTCTCTTTGAAAAAGTTATGAACGTATGAAGATTACCCTTTGAGTCTTTACTCAGGCAAAATTCTCACTGAACCTCAACCTCAAGGGGCTCTGATGAGTGGTTTACCCAAGTAAGACTCCTTCTGAAGGTCTTGTTCTTTTTTTTTAACAAAGAACTGAAAACATCAACATAAAGCTTATGATGGCTCTACAAATATGGGTATTTTTCTTTCCACATATTTGCAATACATGTAGAATCCTTGGGGAATAACATGCACACAAATGCCTTCTGAGTAATCCCTTTATAAGGCAAACAGAGTGATGTAGGTTCAACCTATGTTGAAAGGCAAAATTACATATCATGTACTTATTATTAACACACATCTTTTTGAAGAAAGCAAAGAGTGCCAGATCATGTTTTCCAACCTGACAATTAAACTACTCTGAGTACTAGTCATTTTCAGCATCAGCTTTCAGGAAACTGTGAAACTCTGCTTATGGTCCCAGCTACTCAGCTGAGACGACATGGTAGGGTATTATTGACTTGTTTTTCTAATATAGAATCAAAAACTTTTCATTACATTAGGCAAACTACTACCTGGTGACTTGGAAATGTTGAACAAGCCCACGGTCTGTCTCATTGCTTTACCCTCGTGGTTCTTTCCTTGGTTACCTCGTGGTTCTGTCCTTGGATGCACAGGGCTCCTGGAAGATCTTGGCTGGCTTCTCTGTGATTTGAAGAAATCCCCAAATACTCACGTAATTTGGCTTTTTGAGATTCTTTAAAACTATGTCAGGCGTACGTGACTGAAGAAAGTGCTGGGCCCAGCTAGGAGAGGACTATGCCCACACACCCAGCTCTTCTTCACCAGGGTCCTCCAAGACAGGTGAGGTCAGATCCGCATATCTGGGACCAGCCTTGGACAAAACCTTTTGGGAACTTGGACTTTAAAATCTTGCTCAACCTTAGACTTCATATCAGCGTGAGGAGACTAAGAACAGCACGTCCACCTACTTCACAACTATATCCTGTTAGTTGTTTGCTCCATCAGAACACATGTACATAGCCTACTATATAACTTCATGGTCTACTACAACATCATGTAGGGACCATATGGCAAACATGTAAAACACAAAGGTGATGTAACACAGAAATGTACGAATACCAACTCATCCATTCTCTGCACAATAGACAGAGTGTAAAATTATCAAAACGTCATCCAGAGGCACATGTGTGACACGTGGAGAACAACGGAGATTCAGTATAAAGTGGCTGATGATGTCAGCAGCTTAATACAGTCAAAGGGCTCTAGAGCCTGATGCAGACCAGGTACGTACATTGTCTGCATTGAAATGGGTTGGCAATTCCTTGGGTTCTGCTTCCTAAGCGACTCCCACAGTGGGCAGGTTGTCAGGCCACATACAATATGTTTCCTGAGTCACAGCTCTTGAAGAACCCCACAGGTGTGATGCATGCAATAAATAAAACACGGTCGCAGAGCAGGGCGCTGTCTCTCCCTGTAATTTAATGGCAGGCGATGAGTGAACTTTCCCTTTGCTCCTAGAAGCAGCATCCTCACTTGCAGTGGATCCCATTTGTTAGTGTTTTGTTGTTGTCAGTGACACGGGATGAGGTGGGTGTTTGGGGAAGGTCTTCCTTGATCTTCGGGGAGTGGCTGCTGTTGTTGCTGCTGCTCGATTTGCTGCGACTTGGATCCAAAGCGGGCTGGATGGGCGAGGAGCGGGCACCCCGGCCCTTGACCAGGCAGTTGCAGACCAGACGGAAGAAGGCCCGCCGCATCTCCTTGCTGGCCAGCGTGTAGATGATGGGGTTCATGGCGGAGTTGAGCACAGCCAGCATGATGAACCACTGGGCCTTGAACAGGACAGCACACTCCTTCACCCTGCAGGCCACATCGATGAGGAAGAGGATGAAGAGCGGGGACCAGCAGGCAATGAACACACTCACCACGATCACCACTGTCCGCAGCAGGGCCATGGACCGCTCTGAGTTGTTGGGGTTGGTCACCTTGCGGCTGCTGGACTTCACCAGGAAATAGATGCGTGCATAGAGGATCACGATCGTCACCAAAATGGCTATGAAGATGCTGATGCAAAACGTGATGTACTTCTTAGAGTACAGAGGCAGGATGGTGGAGCAGTCGGAGAGGTTGTGCAGGCAGTTCCAGCCCAGGATGGGTAAGGCGCCCAGGGAGAAGGCAATGAGCCAGCACATTCCGATCAGGAGGAAGACGCGGTGTTTCTTGTTGGCATCATAAGGCCTCATTTTGATCATTGTCAAGTGTCTTTCAATAGCAATGGCCAACAAGCTGCAGGTGGAGGCCCCAAGGGCCACGAACATACTGCCTTCTCTGACAAACCAGACCGTCGGAGACAGGCTGAGCGTCCTCTTGCCCGACATCAGAATGTTGACCTTGTATGCTATGCCGGCCAGCAAGTCGCAGAGAGCCAGGTTGCCGATGAAAAAGTACATGCGATTGTGAAACCTGTTGTTTTTCCAGATAGCAATCAAAACCATCAGGTTCTCCAAGACAATGAAGCTACAGATGATCAGGAACAGGGCCATGGTGAGCGTGCTGCCCTGCGTGGCTTCCTTCAGCCTGCCCTCCAGCTTCCCCACATAGTTGTAGTGTTCGTGCAGCGTCGTGTTCCCCGAGGAGGGCTTTGCCTGGGGCGTGAGGACGGCTGCCATCCCTCGGACTTCACAGACCTTTACCTCCGAAATACACGAGAGGGCGCTCTGGGAGCATCCTCCAAGGCACTCTTTTCCAGGAAAAACAATGACTGAGGCTCAAGCTTCAGCAGGACTGCAGGTCAGACCCCAGTAGCGATGATGAAAATAGATTCCTATAGAAAAGATAAAAGGGAGGGGGTGTTATTGACAAAGTAAACACCACCAAAACAATGATGACAGCAGCAAAGGGGAGAGAGGGCTGAGAATACTAAAGCGTTTTTAGGGATGGGCATGTCAAGGATGCAGAGAATGCTTTCAAAAATACGTGCCACGTTTGTAAGTGATAGAGGGCGAGTGACCACGAGAAGTGATCTGGTGTCTGGAGTAGCAAACGGGAAGAGTCAGCGTGAGTGCCAAGATCATTGACTCATGGTATGATGACACACAGACCCAAACACAGTTTTCTTCTGAAATCTCAAAGCACTTAGAAGGGCTAACCAGCTCATCCTCAATCTGTTGCCATGGGAGCTGGTAAACCATTGTCCCCAGTTACCAAGAGGGAAACTAAGGATTTTCTCAGCGCAAAAAATAGGATAGGATTGGGGAAATTCCCACCTGATTACCAGGACCTCCCAGATGGATGAGCTTTGGAGCGATGTGGCAGGAAAGCAATCACAATTCCTGGACAGCCTCCCCTGTGCCAGGGCCAGAGACAGAAACCAGATCTTGGTGGGCTGCAGCCCTGAGGCCCTAGTGGGCAACTACTGAAGAAAGAAGAGCCGTAAGGACATGTACGCCCCCCACATCCACTTTGGAATGAGCAGCTACATCTGGGAGAGGTGAGGAAAGGAAGGCAAACTTCTCAAAATGGAATCAGTTCCTACTGAAGTGAAGGGAAAGAAGAGAAAGCAATGACAGTCACACAGATTTCAAGAGTGGCTGAAACACATTCAGAGCCCTGGATTTCAGATATAAACATCTAAATCCCTGTCATGGATTGAATTATGTCCCCCAAAAATGTGTGTATCAGTTTGGCTGGGCCACGATTCCCAGTATTGTGTGGTTGTCCTCCATTTTGTGATTGTAATTTTATGTTAAAGACGATTAGAGTAGGATTGTAACACCCTTATCCAGGTCACATCCCTGATCCAATGTAAAGGGAGTTTCCCCGGCGTGTGGCCTGCACCACCTTTTATCTCTCAAGAGATAAAAAGGAAAGGGAAGCAAGCAGAGAAGGGAGAACCTCATAGCACCAAGAAAGCAGTGCCGGAAGCACAGTGCATCCTTTGGACCCGGGGTCCCTGCGCGGAGAAGCTCCTAATCCAGGGGAACATTGATGAGAAGGCTGACAGAGAGAGAAAGCCTTCCCCCGGAGCTGACACCCTGAATTTGGACTTTTAGCACACTTTACTGTGAAGAAATACATTTCTCTTTGTTAAAGCCATCCACTTGTAGTATTTCTGTTATAGCAGAACTAGATGACTAAGACAATCCCCAAACCAAAATCAATCCGTTTGAGCTGAAAGAAACAATAACGTTGGAAGCGCTAGTGAGACGGTGAAGGTAGTGAACTGAAGAGCCAGGCTCTCTTTGGGGACTGAATGTTAACCCTTTCTCCTGCCAACTCTGGATGTGCGACTCCCACCCCCCTCCCCCCCCACCCACTGGGCTAAACTGGTCTGACTTCTGCGATGTTGTTTACGAAGTAGACCGAAGTATCCAGGTAGAAAGTTTTCAGTGGACTTGTTATTTTAAATTTAATTTACTTGGGTATTTAAATATCTAATGAAGATCAAATGAGGTTAATTTAAAAACTGCCCACTTGTGTGTATGAAGTGAAGATGATTTTTTGGTTTTTTAGTTTTGTAATAGTTGAACCCCAACCCTATATTTGGCTCAGAGCCAAATGGACCGCTTTCTAAGGACGAATCCCTGCATTTTGGGGCACCATGGACTCTGCAGGCCTCTTCCACTCATGGAGTTCACTCCAGGTCCGAGGTCCAGTGGGGCTCTTTAAGAGAGGGCCTAGGTCCTTGCAGGATCTCGGAGCTCTGTGGTGGAACTGGTGTGTGGATGTGAGAAGCAAAGGAGACTTCAGACAGGTTTCCCGCCCATGCTGGGAGACCCTGCTGACCCCATCAAAGCCTCCTCTCCCTTAATTGGTTTCAGGGTCTTGAATTTCCCGACATCCGGAAGAAGTGGCCCCACTGTTTCTTTGCAGAGATATTTCCCTGTGTCATGGGACTTGGGTGTGTCAGCTGTACTTGAAACCATGTGGGCTCCGGTGTCCACCTGCCCCCTGCCTGGAACTGCCCCATGGAACTCTTCTCTGGTTCCGCGAGGAAACTGGTGTGAGGCCACAGAAGACGTAGAAGTTTGAGGTCAGGTGTGATGCCACATACTGGCACCACCCATCTGTCAAGTTGTTGTACTGTGGTGGCTTGTGTGTTGCTATGATGCTGGAAGCTATGCCACCAGTATTTTAAATACCAGGAGGGTCGTCCATGGTGGACAGGTTTCAGCAGAGCTTCCAGACCATGAAAGACTAGGAAGAAAGGCATGGTGATCCACTTCTGAAAATTGTCCAATGAAAACCCTATGGATCACAGAATATTGTCTGAGACTTTGACTTCCATATTTTGGATGGGTCTCCAGGAAAGACCAATTGCTGGAGAAGGACATCGTGTTTGGTAAAGTAGAGGACCAGGGAAGTGGATAGAAATCTTCAATGAGATGCAGGAGCAGATTATCCAATAATCAAAGTACCAGATCATTTGTAGCGAATAATTTCACATGGGTTCCACATCTTTGAAACCCATGTGACATTGTCACTACAGGTTAGTAAGTAAGCACAAATAAACCCGTCCTTGCCTTGCTTACTGAGTCATCTGCCCCTCTCAGGGACTGTAAAATTAAAAAGAGGATGTGATTCTGTAGGAAGGTGCTGTGGGGTTGGGAGAGAGACAGTGGCCAGCCATACCTAGAAGCAGCATGTTTGATGTGGTGAAAAAAATGTGGCACTGTTCACTACAGATGGTCTGGTCAGCAACGCAAGCACTGTAGGAACCTTGCTTATTGAATAACCCACCCCTGGCGAGATGGCTTGATACAATGGCCACAATAGGCTCAAACATACCAATGATCATAAAGATGGCACAGGACCAGGCAACATTTTGTTCTCTTGTACACAGAGGTGACATGATCAGAGCGGACTCAATGGTATCTAACAACGACAGCTGGAAGAAAGCTTTATAGTTTAGCAAATGCCCTCTCCTAACCTCAAAGAGGAGAAAGCAGGTAAGTTTTGAGGTGGGGCTAATGATGGGTAGCTAACTTTAAAGGACTGGAGAGAGAGACCGTCCTCTGGGGAGCCTATACGAGGCAGCCTAGCTCCCAAACCCCCTCCCCTGGCTGCGGCATCTGAATGGAAAGGCATCTTACTGCCTTCTGGACAGAAGGTGGGCTGCCTCTCCTAACCCATAGGAGAGCTTGGCCTTGCCAGCAGATGCTCCTGCAGATCGTCAAGACTTTTGGCATCTTCCCACCGGCTCCCTTCCACTTTTGCCCCTCTGATTTTTATTTAATCTCTTATCATCCTTCAAGCCCAAGTCGAATTCTACCTGCTCCGCAACATTTCCTGGAATCAGCCCAGTGCCCAGTGACTTTTCTCTGAGACTGCATACTACTTGTTTTTTTAATTGCAAGCTATCGTTTTTTAAGAGTAGAAATAATAAAAACAAAAACAAAACAGTTGTGGTTGAGCTGACTCTGATACATAGCGACCCCATGTGTGTCAGAGTAGAACTGTGCTCCAGAGGGTTTTCAACGGCTGACTTTTCCAAAAGTAGATCACCATGCCTTTCTTCTGAGGCACCTCTGGGTGGACTCAAATCGCCAACCTTTCGATTACCAGCTGAGTGCATTAATGGTTTGCACTACCCAGGTACCCTAGAAATAATGATAGCAGGTGACATTTCCTGAGCGCTGAGTATGTGCCGATTAGTTGGGAGGATGATTTACCTGGTAATCTTGTTTAATACTTGCAGCAACACTGTGACATCTGTAGCATCTTTCACAGCACCTTGGACTTTTATAGGTGCTCAATCAGCGCTTGCATTCTTTAGTATTTGTTTATCTATTTATCTCTTAATCTGTGAGTGGAGAATCATGATTCCCACTGCCCATATGTTGCTCGCATTCCATCCTCAATCAGAGGAGTCACGTAGGTGCTTCTACGCATGCCATGGCCCTCACCCGTCACCAGACACCACCACAAGGAGACCACAGGGCCCTAGGTTGTGCCATCACTGTTTTCAACAGCAGTGCTGCATTAAAACCAGCCGAATGAGTGATACTGTTTCCTTTTATGGAAGAAATGACACAGAAAAAAGGGCAGAATTAAACCGCTGTCTTTGAGTGGTGCAGATGGTTAAATGCTCAACTACTAATGGAAAGGTTGGAGATTCGAATCCACTTGGAGGTGCCTTGGAAGAAAGGCCTGGTGATCTACTTCTGAAAAATCAGCCATTGAAAACCCTATGGAGTGCAGTTCTACTCTGACACACAGGGGTCGCCACGAGTCAGCATTGACTCAATGACAACTGGTTCGGTGTGCTGCAGCTCCTCCAGAGAAGTTATAAACAAAATGTTCCCAGAGCCAGCCTCCTGAGAGTGTCTTCTTTCCTCTGGACAGCAGGACTTTGGGGCCAGACGTCATTACCCCGCTGAAGAGGGAAACAGCCGAAGCTCAGATGTGCCTGGGGCACAGCAGTAAGAGTGGCCTCCCACCCACCCAAAGCAGTCTGGTCTGCCATTGATGGGACTACCCCTGTCTTTCCATCACACCACCACCTTCTGCTATTTGTCTCAAAATGTCACTCGGACATTTGCCATACCACCAGAAGATTATTGCCTCAGAAGCTGAGGAGGGCAAAAGTGAGTTGACATCGGAATCATCTGAATTATGAATATGAAGTATGGATTTGGACTTGAATTCCAACCCAAGCTGGGAGAAAGAG